TGAATCTGGTGCTCTGAATAAGCTACTCTTTTGCACGTTACGGCGAGAACTGGCACTGTGATATCATGCTTGCAACGATAGTATTATGTTCCAAAATATTCACGCTTATATAAAAGTTTATAATGCAAGCATTAATTGCAATGCAGTTGTATTTGAACAATGGAGTGGTCTAACATGTCAGTAGGTCGTGTGGTACGCAAATAGAAAATAACTTATAGATTAATAAGGAGAAGATAAGTTCACAATCCGATCTGGCAATATACGAATGCAGAAAGTTAAGCTAGATTATTGGTCTGAGCTCTAGCCGGACCACGGAAACAATAGGTTCGTACGAAGTGTGCCAATACGACGTAGTTTGTGATTGAAACTGAATTCAACTGCTGCGGAGTTATTAGGAATTGCCTTTCATTCAACCTAAAAAGTCCACTCAGTAGTTAAATAATCTTGCAATAGCAAGCAACGTTATATCTTACATTACATTTTATTTAAGATGTCTGTCATTGGTTAAAATGATGTTGCTAGGAAAATCAGCGCTTATTGCGTTATGTGTATAAGCTTGATCGATTAACGGCGGCTGCGTTGTATATTTCGTTTATCGTTCTTCACGACCATATGTTTCCTCCTGGTAGTGGATCTTCGCTTGTGGGCGCAGTTTTCGTGGCATGTCAGCTACGCCGCAAGAATCTGGCACTTATAGGAGTGCAGACACTGAAGGTTCGGATATACGATGAATGAAATCGAGTGTTTACGAAATGCGCATTATAATGAGTGCGATACAGTTTGGCCGCTAACCAAACGTGTCACCACCCCATCACTAGTTTTGGTAGTGTGCAAGCAACATATGATCTTGTGAAGTTGTTCATTAGATCGCAGTACACAGACTCTCCGACTGGCCGGTGTTAGGACTGTAGTGCTAGCTATTGACCTTCGCACTGATGCACGCTGGTTAGTGTATGCGTCGACTTCTGGGCTGCTGTGTGTGTGTGTGAGAAATAGCACTGGGTACTCGGGTATCGCTGTGTGTATTGATGCTACGCCTTTAATCACTTTACGAACTGTATACTCCTGAATCTCGGCGTTGGGTATGGGTAAGTGCAGAACACGAGGAGCCATTAGGCCATGCATAGGTGTGAGAACTGAGGCACTCATTCGTGTGTCAATAATTGAGTGCAGAGACTTCGCCAAGGCAGCTCAATTTCTCAGGTGCAAAAATTCTAAGGTTATTTTGATTAAGTCTGTGAGAGATAATTAATGGATAGTCGGAAGTGTTCAGATGGCCAATTAAATAGTAACTATCAATTCTAAGTTGAACCGGAACTGACCTAGTGTAGTGTTCTAGTGCTTACCTACTCTCGAAAATTTATTAATTATTAATTAGTGTGATTGAATTGTAGAGTTGGCTCTGTGACGTAGTGTATGCCTCACTAAAATCGTAGAATAAATTCTACTGTATCATGAGTAGTTCTGCAGCTGACTGGACTGACTCGCGTTATCGTTGATCTTCGTCACCTTGAAATGTGAGTGAAACTTGTAATTATGTTATTGTGATATGTGGGACTTCTCACTGGGTGAACTAGCCACCAAGAATTCACTCTAGATTGTCGTGTAAGTGTTAGCCCATCTTGTGCGTGCTACTCTAAGACTGTCAGAAATGATTCTCTTAGTGAAGTCGACTGCTACTGACGTGTAGTGCTGCTACTGACTGCATCTGTACAAAATTATTATACTTCAACGTGTATGACATGTAGACTAGAAACAATGGTAATACATACTAGGTTCGCAAGAAAATGACAGCCGGCTCGCGTGTTGTGTGTTATCCGAAATCGAATTACACTCTAACGTGACGGAAGCGCTCTGTGCCGGGACGTAAACTGATTCGCGTTGGAACCTGCGATGCAGATGTGTTATTCAAGCTGAAGCGAGAATTCTCCCGCCTACGCTGACTCGAAATACTGCTAGTAGATCAGTGTATGCCCGCTACGCGGCCGCCTGTCGGTTTAATTGTCTCTCTCATGACTTACAACCTGATTGTAATGTTGAAGCACGGTCTATACAAACGATAGTCCGCGTCTCATACGGGCGAGCAATGCCACCCCAATACATTTGTACTGTGTGTGTTACGTGACTCTCGACTTGTAGTTCATGGCGCGCTACGCTATATAGAGACGAGTTGCATTTTATTACGCTATTATATACGTATGTGCGCCAGATACTCGTTCGCATAACTAAACGTCTAGAGGTCACACAACGTTCTCGCTCCCGCCCATTCGTGATAGTTACGCGATCATTGTGCAGCGCACTCGACTCACATATGGCACGTACAGCACACGCGCGCTGCTCGCACACAGCTGTGGGTCCCCACACACACCCAACCAACTGAAAGCGCTGCACTCCGACGCATATCCATGATAACAACTATACTACGCGACAAGTCATACAGAGAAGTCATTAAAGTTACAACCACACACACACAAGCGTGTTCTTTTATTACTGCGTACTTACACAATACTGAGTAATACACAATACGAAAGCCTAAGCTATCGATAGTAATTTTAGATCTGTATGGGTAGTAGTTCCTAAGAGTTATATCACCTAAGCCAGAACACACACGCACACACAGGACCCGGTGGCGGGAGGGCGGCCTGATTCGGTTGCAGTGAGTTTATCAGAAATCAACACACCCGGTAGCAGTAACGTCGTATGAGCGCTGTCGCTTCAACTGCCTGCACTTGTTAGGCACACACACACACCACACACACACCACGCGCGCACACACGTATAGGCAAGCTTTGCGTGCACCAGCATATTTACATAACCTTTAAGCGAACATCCACTTAGTCAATTTGTGCTGTAATACGCTAGGAGAACGTAGCGCTGAACATAAGTGCCTAATGGCTGGGTGTCAGCTTGCTGGCGTCGTCTGTTACTCGAACACGCCTGGTGGCACTAGATGCACGCCTTGAAGAAAAGAGGTCGTTTTGAACTCCGAAATGCTGTTGATCGATTCGGTGGTGGCATTTTCTTCGGGTATATCGTTATACCTAAATTTCTCTCCCGGAGGGGGGGGGCGGGGGTAGGGGGGGCGTTTCACTGAAATTGTGGTTTCCACAAAAGAAACTAACAACTAACGAATAGATTTTACGTTGTTTTATTATGGTGAAACGCGCACGCGCGCGACGTGCACGCACCGTAAGCAGCACGCACGCACCAAGATAAGGCAATGCACGTCAAGCGCCGCAAGTAAGCACACACGCACGCAACACACTACACCACACGCACACACACACACCACACCACACACACCACACAGCCACACAAACGACACACACACGCACGCACGCGACGCACGCACAGGACCGCACCACACACACACACACACCAGAGGCAGACACACCCGGCCGCCATGGGAGCGCCGCGCGGGAATATTCGGCGCTGCTCACACAGGAGTTACGATGTTGGGCATCATGGTCCGTATTCAACACGGCACTGAGGATAACACGAGTTATATAATCTTGCATAACTTGATATGATTTTCTGTGATGTAAGTTTCCATACACCTATCTAATGGCATTTTCATTTTCCAAGATTTTCATGTTCTTCTTAACCAGCACGGAACGTGATAAGCAGCACGCCGCGCTTTCGATCATGCGCCCTCGTTCATCGCGAATTTGTTTTGCAATTAAAAAGGGCTGCTGAAACGGTGAAGCAATATCCTGTATGAATGGAAATAATTGGCGACATTTTGCTGTGGCATTCTTTTAACCTTATACGAACCCGATCAAATATGGTTGTTGGTCTAAATCGCATTGACCTAATGAACGGTGCATTTATCAATATGTCTTGCGCTATAAGGCTTACATTCGATCTGCATGGTGATTGAAATTTGGGTGGCCGGCGGCGCTGCCTCTGACGTATGTATGAGACGTGCTTCTTCAACAATATGATGCCAAATTATATCTGGTTGACTTTGGAATCGTTCAGGAAACATTAGCAGAATTCATGTTTCAAAAAGCCCGTGTTTATCCAGTTTGTTTTGAATCGTGTCGACTACTGTAATGTAAGAGTACTGGTAAGTTTCTAATAGTGTAAGCAACTGCTACGCTATATTCATAACAGTGACAGTCCTATATAATTCTGATATCTGCATTTTTATATATATACTATTTATAATTCTCGAGCATATAACCTTTCGATGCGTTAGTTATCTCGTAATGCTTTAAGATTGCTGAAAAAATGCCACTTTGATAGCAGAGGCGATGTGGATGTAATTTGAATAATCTACTCCGTTTGCTCTGGTAAATAGAGGTCATTTTATAAAAGCTTTAGATTTTGTGACCGGTCGTGAAACAAGACATCTTCAGTTTATCCATTATGCTATTTGGTGCTAGATATACCAACACTTGTATACCGTCATAGGCTGACGACGCTATCTATCTATCTATTTGTTATAGTTATACTATAACATATATATACTAGTATGAGTTATAAGTATATTATATAATAGGTAATAGTAATATAGTATGTATAGGTATAAGTATCAGTATAGTATAGTATGTATGTATACGTATAGTTAGTATAGTATAGTATAGTATGAGTATAGTATGTATAGTTAGTCAGTATAGTATACGTATTAGTATGTAATAGTTATGTATAGTATAGTATAGTATAATTTCTTCTGAATATTATATGAAAACATTAAATGATCAGAACGGCAAGTAAATCCTACTGGTATATGACATCTGGAGTCTCATATACAGGGTAAAATCACCAGAGCAGCACTGCATCATGCTGATATCAATTGTGAAATTATGAAATTATGAAAATTATGAATGAATCTTAATTGGTGTGATTGAAAGGAATGAATCCATGGCATGATAAATATTTTGTGAAAATGACTTCTGCGCGTGTGCCAGCCAATTTAAAATGTCCACAGCGGCCCGAACGACATTACACAAGAAGTGTAGTAAATTGCTTCTCTTTTGTCTTTTTCCGATAGCTGATGTCTGTTCCGTATCACTATGGAGACGACGATTACGTCGCAACGCTGTTCTTTAAAGTGCCATGTAAGTATTACCGTGCCTACTCTCTTAGAGAGACTCGCCTAACGAGCCTATAGTGGTTAATGATACGGAATATTCCAACTAAGTATATGCATCTTCGCCACGATTATGTGTAATATGATAATCGATAGATGATATAAAAAAAACAGACATAGAAGTATAGATATAGACATAAACATGGACATAGACATAGCTACATACATGGATAGATAAATGAAATATAATTACGACGAAATGCTTTATCTGTATGTATAGATTTTTGGCGGCGTTGGTGGTAGTGGTGGTGGTGCTGGGGGTGGCGGCGGCGGCGGCGGTGGTGGTGGTTGTGGTGGTAGTGGTTTGGTGGTGGTGGGTGGTGTTGGTAGTGGTGGTGGTGTTGTGGTGAGGGGTGCGCTGGTGTTGGTGGGTGGTGGTGTTGGTGTGTGGTGTTTGGTGGTGTGGTGGTGTTGGTGTGG